TCTTTCCCTGTGAGGGAGCCCATTCAGCTCTTCATTCAGTGTAAAAGAGAAGAATAGTCTTCTTATTGTACAGAACCAGCAAATGTTAATGATGATTTCATTATCAAACGCAGTTCTATTTGGTGTTTCATTCATTCATGCATCAATTTACTTATGGACAGGAAAAGAATGTAGGAAAAACAATGAAACAGAATAAAAAACCAAACAACCCAATCAAAAGATGGGCAGAAGACCTAAACAGACATTTCTTCAACAAGACATACAGATGGCCAAAAGGCACATGAAAAGATGCTCAACATCGCTAATTATTAAAGAAATGCAAATCAAAATTACAATGAGGTATCACCTCACACTGGTCAGAATGGTCATCATCAAAAAGTGTACAAATAATAAATGCTGGAAAGGGTATGGAGAAATAGGAACCCACCTACACTGTTGGTAGGAATGTAAATTGGTGCAGCCACTATGGAAAACAGTATGGAGAACAGCTCTAAAAATAGATCTACCATATGATCCAGCAATCCCACTCCTGGGCATGTATCCAGAGAAAACCACAATTCAAAAAGATACATGCACCTCAATGTTCACTGCAGCACTATTTACAGTAGCCAAGACATGGAAGCAACCTAAATGTCCATCAACAGATGAATGGATAAAGAAGATGTGGTATATATATATAAAATTGAATATTACTCAGCCATAAAAAAGAACGAAATAATGCCATTTGCAGCAACATGGATGGACCTAGAGATTATCATACTAAGTGAAGTAAGCCATATAAAGACATATATCATAAAATAAATAAATTTAAAAAGAGACATATATCATACGATATCGCTTATGATATATATGGAATCTAAAAGAAAAAAAAAAGACACAAATGTACTTATTTCCAAAACAGAAAGAGACTCACAGACACAGAAAACAAACTTTGGTTATCAAAGGGGAAAAGGGGGTGGGAGGAGGGATAAATTAGGAGGCTGGGATTAACATATATACACTACTATGTATAAAATAGATAACCAACAAGGATCTGTATAACACAGGGAACTATACTCAATATTATGTAATAACCTATAAGGGAAAAGAATCTAAAAAAGAAATATATATATATATATCTGAATAGCTGTGCTGTATACCTGAAACTTACCCAATATTGTAAATCAACTGTATTTCAATTAAAAATACATACACACACACACACACACATAGCTTAGCATTTTTAGTCTATTTCTAAAATAAAGTTTTACTAGCACTTAATGTAGATATAGGCTAAAACACAACAGGTACATGAAAATTTTTATATGTTTCCAGGTGAGTGCACAATTGATTTAAGTGTTGTTGGTTTTTTAAGCACAACACAATCCATAGTGCCTGGTGCATGTCTGCTGTTCCCATATATTTATCTCAGATCCATTCACATAAGGTCTCAAAAAATTGTTATTGGATAATGTTAATCCAAGGTTGATTTAAATTCACCTTCTCACATTCCTTTCTTTTTCAAGTATCCCTACATGCAGGAAAAGAAAAAAGGCTTTAGTAATATTTCCCATCATTAAAAATGCTCCTTCTTCTTGCCTCTCCCTCTGATTCAACCTCTTCTCCCCATGTCCTTTCCTAATTCAACTCACATTTTCTAAAACCCACTAAATAGGAATGAGAGAAGGGGGCAAATGATTCACAGGCTGAAGAAATTATTGGCTATAGAAGGAATCAGTCTAAATAAACTTGAATTTTAGTTACTTATTATTTTTCAATTATAATGAAAAATAGTGAAACTGTGTGAATTCTCTTGTTCTATAGAGAAGTAATGGAAGAATTTTAAGTTCAGTGTCTACTGGCCTCCCTCCGTTCCTTCAGAAAGATGAAGTTTAGATACCTGGGGGGCACCATACATGTACAGCACAAGAGGGTCTTGTTTGGGGATCACACACCAAGCTCTCTGCCAAGGTTTTGACTTTTCCATATATTGAAGAAAACTGCACACCACACTGTTTCCAGATACTTCTGCAGATTCGATCTAGAAAATACAATGGAAAGAAACAGTGAGAGAGAGCGAATGAACACAAAATGAACCAGATAGAGAGGTAATTCAACTTAAGGTAACATTCATAAATTACAATGTGTTTATATAAAATGTCTCCTGGCATTGTCTAGAGAAGGTTCATCTGCAATTATTATTTAAACATTCATCTAGATCCATGATGAATTAAATCAATTTTAACTGTTTTACCAGACCTGTAATTTAAATAAAATTAAACATTTATTGACTGCTTACTATGAAGGCACTTTTCTTTTTTCTTTTTTTTTTTTTTTTTTTTTT